GAAAAAGACCCCAAAATTTCAACTTTCCACTCGCTTTAGTTTTTGACTAAAAAAATTGTTTGTAAAGTCTTACTTTACAAAATATCATTATTTTCAAAAAATCGTAACTCCATTAATAATAACTCAATGGCTTTGAGTTTTTGGTATTTTTTACATTGAATCATTAGGAAAAAGACCCCAAAATTTCAACTTTCCACTCCCCTTAGTTTTTGAGTGAAAAAATTGTTTGTAAAGTGTTACTTTACAAAACATCATTATTTTCAAAAAATCGTAACTCCATTAATAATAACTCAATCGCTTTGAGTTTTTGGTATTTTTTACATTGAACCTTAAGGAAAAAGTTCTCAAAATTTCAACTTTCCACTCCCATTAGTTTTTGACTAAAAAAATTGTTTGTAAAGTCTTACTTTACAAAATATCATTATTTTCAAAAAATCGTAACTCCATTAATAATAACTCAATGGCTTTGAGTTTATAGTATTTTTTACATTGAACCATTACGAAAAAGTTCTCAAAATTTCAACTTTCCACTCGCCTTAGTTTTTGACTAAAAAAATTGTTTGTAAAGTTTTACTTTACAAAATATCATTATTTTCAAAAAATCGTAACTCCATTAATAATAACTCAATGGCTTTGAGTTTTTGGTATTTTTTACATTGAATCATTAGGAAAAAGACCCCAAAAATTCAACTTTCCACTCCCCTTAGTTTTTGAGTGAAAAAATTGTTTGTAAAGTGTTACTTTACAAAACATCATTATTTTCAAAAAATCGTAACTCCATTAATAATAACTCAATCGCTTTGAGTTTTTGGTATTTTTTACATTGAACCTTAAGGAAAAAGTTCTCAAAATTTCAACTTTCCACTCGCTTTAGTTTTTGACTAAAAAAATTGTTTGTAAAGTGTTACTTTACAAAACATCATTATTTTCAAAAAATCGTAACTCCATTAATAATAACTCAATGGCTTTGAGTTTTTGGTATTTTTTACATTGAATCATTAGGAAAAAGTTCTCCAAATTTCAACTTTCCACTCCCATTAGTTTTTGACTAAAAAAATTGTTTGTAAAGTCTTACTTTACAAAATATCATTATTTTCAAAAAATCGTAACTCCATTAATAATAACTCAATGGCTTTGAGTTTATAGTATTTTTTACATTGAACCATTACGAAAAAGTTCTCAAAATTTCAACTTTCCACTCGCCTTAGTTTTTGACTAAAAAAATTGTTTGTAAAGTTTTACTTTACAAAACATCATTATTTTCAAAAAATCGTAACTCCATTAATAATAACTCAATCGCTTTGAGTTTTTGGTATTTTTTACATTGAACCTTAAGGAAAAAGTTCTCAAAATTTCAACTTTCCACTCGCTTTAGTTTTTGACTAAAAAATTGTTTGTAAAGTGTTACTTTACAAAACATCATTATTTTCAAAAAATCGTAACTCCATTAATAATAACTCAATGGCTTTGAGTTTTTGGTATTTTTTACATTGAATCATTAGGAAAAAGACCCCAAAATTTCAACTTTCCACTCCCCTTAGTTTTTGAGTGAAAAAATTGTTTGTAAAGTGTTACTTTACAAAACATCATTATTTTCAAAAATCGTAACTCCATTAATAATAACTCAATCGCTTTGAGTTTTTGGTATTTTTTACATTGAACCTTAAGGAAAAAGTTCTCAAAATTTCAACTTTCCACTCGCTTTAGTTTTTGACTAAAAAAATTGTTTGTAAAGTGTTACTTTACAAAACATCATTATTTTCAAAAAATCGTAACTCCATTAATAATAACTCAATGGCTTTGAGTTTTTGGTATTTTTTACATTGAATCATTAGGAAAAAGTTCTCCAAATTTCAACTTTCCCACTCCCATTAGTTTTTGACTAAAAAAATTGTTTGTAAAGTCTTACTTTACAAAATATCATTATTTTCAAAAAATCGTAACTCCATTAATAATAACTCAATGGCTTTGAGTTTATAGTATTTTTTACATTGAACCATTACGAAAAAGTTCTCAAAATTTCAACTTTCCACTCGCCTTAGTTTTTGACTAAAAAAATTGTTTGTAAAGTTTTACTTTACAAAACATCATTATTTTCAAAAAATCGTAACTCCATTAATAATAACTCAATCGCTTTGAGTTTTTGGTATTTTTTACATTGAACCTTAAGGAAAAAGTTCTCAAAATTTCAACTTTCCACTCGCTTTAGTTTTTGACTAAAAAAATTGTTTGTAAAGTGTTACTTTACAAAACATCATTATTTTCAAAAAATCGTAACTCCATTAATAATAACTCAATGGCTTTGAGTTTTTGGTATTTTTTACATTGAATCATTAGGAAAAAAGACCCCAAAATTTCAACTTTCCACTCCCCTTAGTTTTTGAGTGAAAAAATTGTTTTGTAAAGTGTTACTTTACAAAACATCATTATTTCAAAAAATCGTAACTCCCATTAATAATAACTCAATCGCTTTGAGTTTTGGTATTTTTTACATTGAACCTTAAGGAAAAAGTTCTCAAAATTTCAACTTTCCACTCGCTTTAGTTTTTGACTAAAAAAATTGTTTGTAAAGTGTTACTTTACAAAACATCATTATTTTCAAAAAATCGTAACTCCATTAATAATAACTCAATGGCTTTGAGTTTTTGGTATTTTTTACATTGAATCATTAGGAAAAAGTTCTCCAAATTTCAACTTTCCACTCCCATTAGTTTTTGACTAAAAAAATTGTTTGTAAAGTCTTACTTTACAAAATATCATTATTTTCAAAAAATCGTAACTCCATTAATAATAACTCAATGGCTTTGAGTTTATAGTATTTTTTACATTGAACCATTACGAAAAAGTTCTCAAAATTTCAACTTTCCACTCGCCTTAGTTTTTGACTAAAAAAATTGTTTGTAAAGTCTTACTTTACAAAATATCATTATTTTCAAAAAATCGTAACTCCATTAATAATAACTCAATGGCTTTGAGTTTTTGGTATTTTTTACATTGAATCATTAGGAAAAAGACCCCAAAATTTCAACTTTCCACTCCCCTTAGTTTTTGAGTGAAAAAATTGTTTGTAAAGTGTTACTTTACAAAACATCATTATTTTCAAAAAATCGTAACTCCATTAATAATAACTCAATGGCTTTGAGTTTATAGTATTTTTTACATTGAACCATTACGAAAAAGTTCTCAAAATTTCAACTTTCCACTCGCCTTAGTTTTTGACTAAAAAAATTGTTTGTAAAGTCTTACTTTACAAAATATCATTATTTTCAAAAAATCGTAACTCCATTAATAATAACTCAATGGCTTTGAGTTTTTGGTATTTTTTACATTGAATCATTAGGAAAAAGACCCCAAAATTTCAACTTTCCACTCCCCTTAGTTTTTGAGTGAAAAAATTGTTTGTAAAGTGTTACTTTACAAAACATCATTATTTTCAAAAAATCGTAACTCCATTAATAATAACTCAATGGCTTTGAGTTTATAGTATTTTTTACATTGAACCATTACGAAAAAGTTCTCAAAATTTCAACTTTCCACTCGCCTTAGTTTTTGACTAAAAAAATTGTTTGTAAAGTCTTACTTTACAAAATATCATTATTTTCAAAAAATCGTAACTCCATTAATAATAACTCAATGGCTTTGAGTTTTTGGTATTTTTTACATTGAATCATTAGGAAAAAGACCCCAAAATTTCAACTTTCCACTCCCCTTAGTTTTTGAGTGAAAAAATTGTTTGTAAAGTGTTACTTTACAAAACATCATTATTTTCAAAAAATCGTAACTCCATTAATAATAACTCAATGGCTTTGAGTTTTTGGTATTTTTTACATTGAATCATTAGGAAAAAGACCCCAAAATTTCAACTTTCCACTCCCCTTAGTTTTTGAGTGAAAAAATTGTTTGTAAAGTGTTACTTTACAAAACATCATTATTTTCAAAAAATCGTAACTCCATTAATAATAACTCAATGGCTTTGAGTTTATAGTATTTTTTACATTGAACCATTACGAAAAAGTTCTCAAAATTTCAACTTTCCACTCGCCTTAGTTTTTGACTAAAAAAATTGTTTGTAAAGTCTTACTTTACAAAATATCATTATTTTCAAAAAATCGTAACTCCATTAATAATAACTCAATGGCTTTGAGTTTTTGGTATTTTTTACATTGAATCATTAGGAAAAAGACCCCAAAATTTCAACTTTCCACTCCCCTTAGTTTTTGACTAAAAAAATTGTTTGTAAAGTCTTACTTTACAAAATATCATTATTTTCAAAAAATCGTAACTCCATTAATAATAACTCAATGGCTTTGAGTTTTTGGTATTTTTTACATATGATTTTTCCGTTATCCATCACCCTCTTCAGATAATCATGTATGGACCGCCACTGCTGTATATAGGCTTCATGTTCTGCCAAAAGTTTTCAGTTTTGTAAAGGGAAAACTTTAGTTTCATTGACTAGGCTTTGGAGTGTCATTTTTGTTAGATTTTCAATCAGAAAATGGTCGTTATTTTTCTGCTTCTTAAAATGCATCCTATTTTATTTCTGTCTTTGTCTTACTCAATGGCATTAAGGCACATTTTGATTTAAAATGAAATACAATATGTTTTTTGGTCAATTTAATATTCAGTCCCAGTCAATTACAATTAACAACAATATAGTTTTAGGTAACATTCTATAGTATATTTAACAATTAAGTGGAAGCGTTTTCTTAACATTTTACATTTACATATAAAGTTTATCTACTAATATAACGGGCCCTGTATAAACGCTACATTATTTACACTTTTGAATCATGTCTAAAGGCTTAACCTCCACCATTGAATTATGTGACTAATATACACTCACTGGCACCTATGTTGCCGATATCAGCTGAAAAAATGTGGAATTAGGGGGTCAAGCCGATAACACTGAACCAAAATACTTAATGACACATTATCATCAATTAAGGAACTTGTTTTGTCGTTGATTTTTAGTCTTTTTATGTTAGATCACAAATAATTTAGAAACCCTTGATGACGCCGTAGGCCTCTAACGTCGATAGCACCAAATAGACGATCCACAGGCCGAAAAGTACCAGAGAAGTGAGCAATTTAGATGCAGTGGGACCACCCAGTTCTCCCCCGATACTTTTCGAACGTCTGAGCAACAGAATCAAAATGGCGACGGCCGCTTCCGAACAAAATATCGTCACCGAAAAGGCTAAACTGGAAAATGTTTGTCGTCAGCGTAAGCCCACTTGATCAGTATACAGGTTACCTGCCAGGATGGACGGTAAATTTGTTGCCGTGACAGCCGTGGTAAATAGCAGCAATCGACCAGGCAACGCCGATACCCAAAAAAACATTGACAGCGTTACTTCCGGTAACATTACCAACGCTGGCGTCTGCGTGTTTGTCGTTGATGGCCGCCACTTTGCTGGCAAACGTATCTGAAACATTTCAAAGTTAAAATGTGCACAAACCGAAAATCATCTAACCTGGTATGCTGGTACCCAAAGCGACAAATACAATTGCAGTTACGCCATCTTTGATACCTAAAGTGGCACCAAAGTGCGATGCCACGTCACCGATAACAGCGGTGACCAGTCCTATGCAAAATATCGAAACTACAAAGCACAAGTAGCCGTTGCAAATGTCAGTGGGCGGAATCAGGGCGAAAATTATTTTCCAGAAAACTGTAACTAGATGCATGAAGTAGTCCAGCTTGGACGGTTTTTGGACGTCTTCGCTCGAGCTGACTGTCAAGGCTTCGAGGAATTGCTCCTTCCAAGACGACGTGCCGATTAGTAACGAGGCATTGGCGCGCTGGACCAGTTTGTCTACCGTATTCTAATAAATAAGTTATTTTATGCTTTTGAAGTTTTCACATAATTGTGACAGTAGTCAAATAAAGCGGGTTTTGCGATATAACGTTATCGTAATGATAATAGCATTAGTGTACGTTAAATGTGACATCTGTCTGTGGGCTTGGGTGGTAAGTAGTACAGGTGTCATTGGCGGCTTCATGTGACACTATCTGACAGCTGTCAGTAATAAGGGGGCACCTGAGCCTGGGAATTTTTCCGATACCGTGGGAAAATTTCTAGATTGGCCGATGCTTTTGATCTGAAATTTCGGGAGTTTTAAAGTATCATTTTCGATATCGCAGAATCCGCTTTGTTCAACTACTCGCGACACTGACCTTAAACTCTTTGCTTTCCTTGATTCGGATTTGGGCTCGGACAATGTCGCCAAGTCTCGGTTTGCCCATAATCGCCAGCCGTTCTCGGTCCGTGCGCTCCTCCGGTCGTTTTTTTTCGGCTTCGGCCGCCAAATTTGCTACTTCGTCTAATAGGGAAACAAGTTTTAGCTTTAAAATTGTGATTGCATGATTTTTTACTTACTTTAACATGCAAGAGGGTGCGAAAAAGAGAAAATAGAGTGGGTTACAAATAGACATAAAAGAGAAAGGAAATATTGATTTTTTTTTAAATCTTACCGCCAACCATTAGGGGTTCGCCTAGTTGCACGTAAAACAGCACGTCTTTTTCGTAGCTGTCTTCTTCGATTATCGTCAACGGAATCACTTTTCTACAAATATACAAGGTCAATCATTTATAGGACAACTTTAATCATGTAATATAAAACTGGTATCGATTTCGAAACCTTTGAAAAACTGTTTTATTCAAGGCTCATATCAAATTTATCGGAGCGTTGGAATGGAATACAATTTTTAGACTTAAACGTAAGGAAAAATCACGCAAAAGACGGTCGCGCACCTGTAGTGACGTCACTGCAGGTGACAATAATGCACTTGATTTGTCAATAATTAGAATTTATTTGTTTGGTAACTGTTGGCAATAGGGCGATTGAACGCACTAATACTACTACAGGATAGTTTTATCTTCATAAGGCCTGTGTGAAAAAATTCTCGTACCAGTTGTGACGTAAGCAGCATGTTATTTCTCTCCTTGACGTAGGCTGTTTAACAGGCAGTGCCCCTTAGATTATGTGCAAATGCAAGGATAATACGATAATACACACTACTACACAGAATTGCTTATCGGTCTCATTTGTGGAAATTGCGGCAATATGGTGTAACACTATTGATGACATCATCGTCAGCTGTTTGCGCCAGCGATATACATTCATGATGAAAAATGCTTTATGAGGATAGGCTATATAGTAGTAGTGTGTATTATCCTTGGGTGAGTCCGGCCCGAAGGGCCGGAGTTATATGCGAGTCCGGCCCGAAGGGCCGGAGTTATATGCGAGTCCGGCCCGAAGGGCCGGAGTTATATGCGAGTCCGGCCCGAAGGGCCGGAGTTATATGCGAGTCCGGCCCGAAGGGCCGGAGTTATATGCGAGTCCGGCCCGAAGGGCCGGAGTTATATGCGAGTCCGGCCCGAAGGGCCGGAGTTATATGCAAGCCCGAAGGACCGGAGTCATATGAAAGCCCGAAGGACCGGAGTCATATGAAAGCCTGAAAGGCCGGACTTATTTTTATCACGAGCCTTATTGGTTAGCTGATAATTTGGAGCCAATGAATTATTTATCAAACCAAGTAGGCCTTGAAAATGTATATGTATTGCGATATCGGTATTACAGAGTATACTACTTTGTCAGTTATCGAACAGTGCTGTCAACTTCAACTTACAATAAGCATTGTTTCAATTACTGATGAGGCTTAAAGATTTAGAAAAAAACAAAGCTCAAGTAGGCCTTGTAAATTTTAAATTTTCCATAACGACTATTTTTTAAACATCGACAAAATATCAAACATCAAATTATTGACAAGCAACAAAATAAATAACCTAGTAGGCCTTGAAAGCAACACTGATTTTAATCGATGTCGGTAATACAGATAACTGTAAAATCAAGCCAAGTAGGCCTTGAAAACAAACCAACCATTTTGAATTAATTGTCAAAAGATTACAAGGCCTACTTTGAAATGTCAAATTACGTATAGGGTTGCTACATTATGAAGTTCCTGTTATTGGGCCTTATAAAGGTAAGAGCGATTTTTGTAATGGAAAATAGGCAATTTGGCAATTTGATTAAATATGGCGGCAACGGTCAGACATTTGCATGTGTTTAATATTCCTTGTCGTTAATTTCATTGTTTGACTTCAACCACCATATAAAAACAAGTAGGCCTTGTAATTTTTTCGATTTTCGACATTTAACCTCAACCGATTTATCGGTAAATTTACCAATTTTCAAATGAGTCTACCGATTTTAAACCAATTTCTCACGATTTTTCTGCAATTTGTTAGTAATGCAACAAATATAAAAACATACCGATAAATCACCTTTTCTACATTTAAAATCGACGAAAAAATCAATTCACTAGCACAGCCTGAATCTCTAGCATTCCATCGCGGTCTGCGGGTGACGTCATCACTATATACCGCTGGGTTAGGGGAATATGATACAATTGACATATAACATCTGATCATCGTCCACGCAAATGACGTCATTTGGGATTGAAAATTTGTGCAATCACAACTGACGTCATCTGCGTCATATTTGCGTGTAGGCAAAGTTGCCTCAATTTCAAATAAAGCCCCTCAGATTGTTACATAATAATTCAACTATGATTCCCTGATTTGCCTACGGAGAAATAGGAATCACATTGCACAATAAAATTATGACGTCAGTAAATTGTGGCAGAATGACGTCAGCTACCGATTTTTAAACGAAAACTACCAATTATTTCTTCAAGAATTTACCGACTTTATTCCGTCAGAAGTGGCAGCACTGAATTTAAGTACAGTGAAATCCATTAGCATAGAGTAAATTCAGTGCGTACTGAGTGTAATTATTGTGTCTTCTACTATTAGCATGCAAAAGAAAGTGACGGAAATACATAGTATTTACACTAATTTTACCAATGGTTTTCGCAATTGAGGCAGTTGGTACTATTGACTTGAGATTATAAACAAAAATGTTTTGTTTATATTTTTTATGTTTTTTGACAATTGACATTTGTTATTTAAATTAATAAATAAAAAGTTAAAATTTATTTGTTTATTTATAGCCAATTTGATTTTCATTATTGTTTTGAAATAATGATGTGGCAACACTGCAAAAACGTGTAAGGAGGCTTTGGAATTTTTTTTTGTTTTTGGCAGTTGGTATTGTCATAGTGTCTTTTGTTGTTGTTTGGGACCCACGTGCCGAGTTTTTTTGCATAATTTCGGGGTTTTTTGTACTAATTAAGGGCTGAAAAGTGTTTTAAAGTGTTCGTTGGATTATTTTGCATCGAAAATACACAAAATTCCAGGCCGGACGATTGATTTTGTTTAAAAATTGGTAAGTTACAAAATTGAATGTAAACAGTGGCGGCTTGTGACTATTTTAAGGGAGGAAGCTAATTACAGTATAGGATTTCATGAAGGAATTCCATTAAGATTTCAATTTCAAAATTCCATATTTTGTTTTTTTAACTTTACTAAAATTCCTCAAAATTTTACCACTGAAATATCCGAGAATTCCACAAAATTTTCATAAAATTCTTTGAAATTTCATATAATTTCTTAAAAATTCATCGAAATCTATTGAAATTTCATGTAATTACGTGGGAATTTTTCGGAATATCACCGAAATTCCATGTTTTTTATGCTGAAAATTCCTCGGCATTACTAAAATTCAGTAAAAACTGAAATTTCATATTGAGAATTTCGGTGTAATTTCATGTAATTGTTTAAAATTCCTCCATGTAATTCATTTAGGATTTTGTGTAATTCGATCGGAATTTCACTGAAATTTCAAGTAATTCGAGAGGAATTAAGATTTAATGTAAATTCTATGGAAATTTCACATCTAATTCCTTTTTCAGAATAACATAATTATTCTACCGAAATTCCATTAAATTGTGGAATTCTGAGATTTTAATAGATTTTTTGGGAATTCCAAAGGATATTTGGGAATTTTAAAGGAAATATTTTTCAGAAATGTCTATGATAACCTATAAATCAAACAACAACAAACGTCAAAACGTCGAAAAATTGAAATATCAAAGTAGGCCTTGGTTTTTTTTGACAGTCGATATAAAATGGCGTCTTTTTGTTTCAAAGATTACGATCCGAAGAGCCGAAGTATTAAAATCAGTTGACAATGAACGGGTTCGTATAATTCCGGCCCTTCGGGCTCATGATTAAAATAACTTCGGCCTGTCGGGTTCGTATAACTCCGGCTTTTCAGGCTCGCATATAACTCCGGCCCTTCGGGCTCTCATATAACTCCGGCCCTTTGGGCCGGGGTTTTCTTTTTAAATCTGAGCCCGAAGAGCGAGGGTTTTATAAACATTCGTGCGTATTACCAGACAATACCATGTTGTCAATAATTACATCGATTTTTTTCCAATTTCAATAAAAATGGACTATTGAAAATGGAGAAAAAAACAGTGTTGCAACGCAGCATTTCGACTTTGATATATAACGACATTTGACAAACTTGTCAAAATAGTGACAGCTGTTAAGACTCATCAAACAACGATTATAAGTTTCATTGTTTAACACCAAATTGATTTTTTTTTTTTTGTCAATTGTCAATTAAACAACTGTCAAAAGTGATTTAAAAACTGATGCAATGTTGCCAATAATTACATCAATTATTTTAATGCAAAAAAAATGTATTTCTATCTCTGTTTTATACAAGCTGATAGAAAAGACACACAATAGAATTCGCTAAATAATTTAAATCAACTTGTAAAATGACAGGAAATAGTGCAAAGTATTTCGTTTTTTAATCGTCAATGTCACTTGTCACATTTATTAGTACGACATATGACCAGATATCAACTGTCAAAGTTATTGTTTATTATTGCCACTTTTGGCGTCACTATGTCACATGTAATTCAATGATAGATGTCACTCGATATCGTTAGAATTCACCTTAAATTGTCTGTTATTCTTGACCTATTTCAGTATAAATGACTAATGACAATTTGCTCTGGAGGGCAAACATTAATTTATAACCAAAAAAAAAAAAATGACATTATTTTGACATTTTTCGCTTTAAATTTGACAACAAAATGATGGTTGCCCTCCAGCGTGACGTCATACCAAAATGGTCACTTAATCATTTAGTCGAATTGACGTCATTTGTTGGTTACAATTTAGACAGATGAACGATATGTCAAATGTCATTTTGTCATCTATTGCAACTGTCAAAGTTGTAATTTCAATCTCGAAATCAATCGCCTACTTTTCAATATTGGTGACCAGATGGACGATGGGTTAGATGTAGATAAAATGTTGTACGTTACCTCAAAATATTACTTCTTCTGTATTACCGTCCCAATGTTGTCAGTCCTTTTAGCAGTGCAAAAGTATTACAGAGTTCTATATTACCGACCCCAATATTATTCAAAGGCCTGCTTAATTAAACAAGCGACGTTGCCGCATGATAGAAATAATCTCGAAAGATTTGAAAATATCATCATTTTAAATAGGATTTTGGTCCCAAAACTCTCACCGGCAATTGACGTTTGTTTAATCATTCCGCCTACAATATCGCTATCTCACTTGTTTGAGTTCACTGGCCAATCGAATAAAATGAAATGTCGTACGTCATGTGACAACAAGAGCCGGGAATAATCAAAATTTGCAAGTTTTGAATAAAATTTTGTACGCAACCTGTAATACCGACATCCATTCAAAGCCTACTTGATTCAATCATCGTTGACAATATCAATAACTATTTTTTTTTGACAGTTGACAGGACAAGTGATGCTTAATGTGTCACTGTTCGGTAATTTATTGGTAAAGTTTGTCAACCGGTTGAATTTGTCATTTGTCATCTAATGACATAAATAAAACGGTTGACAAATGAATCAATATCATATTGTTTTTGATTGGTAGAATTAGTGCAAAAGAAAATCTTGTTTCTTTTTAGCAGGATGAGAAAAAGAAATGGAAATACACTCGGCGCGCAAAAAAAATATACCTACGAATCGGAAATGGTAGTATACGTTGACAATTGACAAATGACGTTTCGCATTCGTATATTTCGCCTATACTACCGGACAATAAATTTCCCGCTTCAAGTAATAGAATAAATGACATCTGACACATGGTTCGTCTCTGTCAAACAAATAATTGTGACCAACCAATGTCGTCATCAATTGAAAGTGATAATTGCTGTGTTATCGAACGACATTTGACACATCTGGAATCTATGACGTCATCAAATTACGTGTCAAATTCAAGCAACGACATCGAAACAAAAAATAAGTACATGATTAATTTCAAAATTGACATTAATAGTAGTTGCTGTGGGTGACAGATGACATTTGACGTCCAAAATAATACACAAATAACGATCAATCAAAAACACACTTTTGACACATTAAATGTTAATTATGTGTCAACGTCAAATTTGACTCTTGATAATTAAAAATATAATAAATTAACAATGATGTCGAATAATTAACACAGTAGGCCATCGATTAGAAAGAAATGTCAATCAGTTAAGGCCTCAAATCGTGTTTCGTCTCTGTCTGTCTGTATGCAACAAACAAGGACAAACGTACTTTTTTTTTTCTGGAAATTCATAGACTATTTTCAAGTGCCTAAAATCGATTAAAAAATTTATTTTTAAATATTACATAAAATTGCTGAAAATAAAATGACGTTATTTTAATTCAATATGGCGGCGTGGAAATAACACACCACGTTTACATTCAAATTGCAATCGATTTGAATTGAATGTAAAAGCACTAATTTGTTATGCCCACGTCGCCATCTTGAATTATCAGCTTGATTGAAAACTATAAAATTCAAGAGCCGGGAATAGGAAAAAAAAATTGAATTTCCCGCTTCGAATAATAATATGACAAATGACGTTTGACTCTGTCAAGCTTGAGCAAAAATACAAATATTGGGTAAATAATTATTGTGACATATTACTTTGGCAGTTGGCAGTTGTGTCATCGAATAACATTTTTTTTTTTTTTTTATCTCCAGTATATGACGTCACCAATTATTTTTCAAGTTTAAATTTTTCCATTGATACGTCAAAAATATAATAAACAAACAACGGACTCGCACATAACTCCGGCCCTTCGGGCCGGACTCGCACATAACTCCGGCCCTTGCCGGACTCGCACATTTCTATAGTTTTTGGTCAAATTAAATGATTTTTTAATGGATTTAAATGCGGAAAAATGTCAATTAAAGTTCGTGTCATTGAGCCTTGTGAAGGGTAAGAGCAATTTTTAGTATTTTTATTATAAATTCCCAAATAATTCGTGAAACCTCTCCCTCAATTTGTATTGATTAATATTTAATTATTTATTTGAATCTCTATTATTGATTGACACAAACCAAGGATTATAAGTATCGATACATTTGTGACGTCACTACAAATGCTCAATTCCATTTCAACCTTCCAACTTATGAGACATTTTTGACATCGCTTCGAAAATTTGATGTTTGATACATGAAATAAAGAGTGAATGAGACATAACTCTGACACAAACCTACGATACATTTGTGACGTCACTACAACTTACTCTGATTCGTTATTTTCGAAAACTAGCTCGCCTTCAATACCCTCGTACTCCTTCCCACTTTTGGCGGTACCGTCTTCGGTACTATACGGCAACACGACACGCCCCCTAGCTCCCGAGCACCGGACCACTTTCAGCTCGTAGGTGCCGACGCTCTCCACCAACTCGTGATTTTGACTTTCGAATTTAAACAGCCCGCCGTGATCGTCGTCTAGAATAATCACCGTGGCGAGCATCGGAGTACCGAGACTGCCCGCCGGCTGCGCCGAACACAGCCGAACGTAAAAGTGCTCATCGGCTTCAAATTCGTCATCATCGATTACTTCTAAGGCGATTTTTTTTTCTTTTTCGCCTGGCAGAAATTCAATAATGCCTTTGTTTTGGATGTAGTCGCTTCCGGCTAAGGCAGTACCGTCTTCTGTTGTATATTCGACCGAGAGGCAAGAGTCTAAATCACCAGTACGTACTATTGTAATTTCAAAATGGCCACAACTTTCTAATACAGTATAGCGACTGGGTTCAAAATAAACACGCGAACAATTATTTGGTGCGCAATTCTCCCGCTGCAATTCCGCTTTGACTTCGCTCAAATCGCTTTGCGCACGCTCAGAGATTCTGCGCATTAAATCGCCACTGCCCATTAGTTTTCTAGTAGCTTGAATTCGATAAAATGCTCTAGATTTGGGGCCTTTGTTGAGCAAAGCCTCGTGTGCTAGTTTTTCCAGTGACTCTATATCCGTGTGCGGATTGCGCTGCTTTAAATCTTTAAGCGTTGCCACATACTCTTGCTTAATATCCTCGTGCGCATCATCTAGTACTAAAAGTTCCGTGTTGACCATTTCCAATTGGTCGGCGCCTTCTGCTCGGACAATCACGCCGCGTTGGTTCATCCTGAAATCTTTGCGGACAAACTTGTGAATTTGACGGTCAGCACCGTAAGCGGTTAAAACGGTACAAGGAAAAAAGGCAAACGTGACAAGGCCTTCCCAAATCTCGACTTCCCCAGGCGAAAAGAAGCACAAAATCAAATACATCCACACATAGGCGAATACAGACCAGGTTGCAGTCACAAAGAAAACGCCTAAATGTTTGATTTTTCTGACTTCTCCGGCCGGAATCACCCAAACGCATATAGCTATTATTACGAACAAATTATAAGCGGCCGAGCCTACTATAGTACCAGGCCCCAACTCGCCCGCCGTAAAATTCCTCGCATAAATCTCGATAACACTCAGCAATATTTCCGGAGCGCTCGACCCCAAAGCCATCAGCGTCAAATTAGCTACAGTTTCGTTCCAAACTCGCACCACAACAATTTGCTTATTGTCGTCAGTTTTACCAACGGAAACTTCCCGTTCTTGTGAAGTAATTACCTCAATTGCCGCCATAAATCGGTCCGAAACAATCGAAACGCCGATGAACAGAAAAGCGAGGAAGACGAAGTAAAGGGCCCCGCGTCCGAACTTGTCGATTACCGGGACGTCGGCCAAAGGACGCCAACATGGCAGGACGAGACCGTCGGTGCACAAGATGGCCGAGGCGTTGTCCGCCATAGCGTCGCGGCGTGACTGGGCGAGGCGTCGCGACGCCCGATCCAAATCTCCCCCCTTCTACGGCGCATGCTGTTTTTGCGTTTCAGTTTTGGGAGCAACATGGCGGCCGAGGAGGAGCAATATGGCGGCCAAATTAAAAATTTCTGTAATAATTAGTTTGCGTATTGTCTGATAGATGGCGCCACTAGAGCTACTAATTACAGATTTCTGTAATGGCATCGACTTAAATTTACATACAAAGTTTGTAACTAGAACTCTAGCTAGTTCAAATGATGACGTCACCGTAATTCTTTCATTATTAGTCAAACCCAAATGCAATTTCCTTAAATTCCCTTTGATTGATGGCCTGCACCTTGATAAATAGTATTCTATTTTAGTTTAATTCCTTGTCATTGTTAAAATAAGCAAGAATCTGTAATTAGTAGCTTTGGTCGCTTGTTAATAGATGGCGCTGGTAGATAAATAAATCGATTGATTATTGTTACAGAAATCTGCAATTTGCAAGATTGGACAGTTGAAGATTATATGCAAATGTAAGTACTTTTTTCACTAAAAATTTTTAAATTGTTCGGAATTGTTCTCGGTACAATTGAATCGGTTCTTGATAGGTATACTTTAAGTTTAAAACGGTTTTTGTTAGGTCTACAAATGACGTCATCATGTAAAGAGGCCTTGCAACAGGATATTCATTTCAAAATTTCGATTAAAAGTAACAAAGTTTGGTCTGTCACTGTGTTTAACAAGTGCATTTTTACTTCGAAACGGTTTTCGCTAGGTTCGCAGGTGACGTCATCATGTACACTCTTTTTTTTTATAAGGATATTAATTTCAGAATTTTGATTGATAATGACAAAATTGAACTGTCACTGTGTTTTGCGAGTGCATTTTTATGTTTGAATCGATTTTTGTTAGGTCTGCTAGTGACGTCATCATATAAAAAAAGCCTTGTAACATGGATATTCATTTCAAAATATTGATTAAAAGTGACAAAATTAACTGTGTTGAAACGGTTTTTGTTAGGTCTGCAGCTGACGTCATAATGCCTTATAACAATGATTTTTATAGGTCAAATAATAGAATTCAATTTATCAAAGGCTGATTTGAAAATCAATATTGTATTTTTTAACAATTCTATTCTGACTGTTCGAAGTGCACTGACTCTTTTTGATCTGTTCACATTACTCTAGAACCTTTATAGAACAGTTCTAGAACAATCATTTTATTGTTCGGAGCTGTTCTCAAACGATTTAAGTATAATTGAATCAGTCTTTGATAGGTGTACTTTTACTTTGAAATAATTTTTGTTGGGTCTGATGATGACATCATCATGAATTATTTGAACATTTTGATTAAATGACAAAATTATTGGCCTGTCACTGTGTTTTGCGGGTGCATGTTTAGTTTGAAACAGTTTTCGCTAGGTCTGCAGGTGACGTCATTATGTAAACTCTTCGCTTAAGGATATTAATTTCAAAATTTCAATTGAAAGTGACAAAATTGAACTGTCACTGTGTTTTGCGAATGCATTTTTCGTTTCAATCGGTTTTTATTAGGTCTGCGGGTGACGTTATCATGAATGATGATCTTATAACAAGAATATTCATTTCAAAGTATTGATTAAAAGTGACAAAATTGAGGGTTGGTCACTGTTGATACGGTTTTTGTTAGGTCTGCAAATGTCACGTCATATTATAAAATTGCCTTGTAACAAGGATATTCATTTCAAAATTTTGATTAAAACAAAGTTGGCCTATTACTGTATTTTGCGGATGCATTTTTAATTTAAAACGGTTTTTGTTAGGTCCGCGAGTGACGTCATCAGATACACTCTTTTATTAAGGATATTATTTCAAAATTTTGATTGAAAGTGACAAATTTGAATTGTCGCTGTATTTTGCGAGTGCATTTTTAAGTTTGAAACAGTTTTTATTAGGTCTGCTAGTGACGTCATCATATAAAAAAAAAATATTCATTTCAAAATTTCGATTAAAAGTGACAAAGTTGGTCGTCACTGTATTTTGCGGATGCATTTTTAATTTAAAACGGTTTTTGTTAGGTCCACAAGTGACGTCATCAGATACACTCTTAATAAGGATATTAATTTCAAAACTTTCTGTAATAATTAATTTTTGTATTGTCTGATAGATGGCGCCATTTTCAATATGTTAAAATAGCTTCGGCTTTTGTTTGATAGATGGCGCACTAGTAATGCTCTATTGGTGAGTCGTAGTCGTAGATAATTTTTACAGATTCCTGTAACAATTAGTTTGGATTTTGTTTGATAGATGCCGCCACTAATTATGGATTCCTGTAACGATCAGTTTAGCTTTTGTGTAATAGATGTCGCGAAAATGTTTTTAGGCCAAATGATGACGTCACCAGAAGTCCCATTGTATACTTATGGCTTTCATGAGTTGAAAACAAGATACTATGGTTCTTTTGGGATTAAAATATTTTAATTAATAGATTTTCTGCATAATAATAATAATAACAACAATAACAATAATAAATCAAGGCGCAGTCAGTAATTCTTCTTGGACGCTCTGAGACCTGAAAAGGGATTTTCCTCCAATTTGATTGGTTGATTTGCAAGCGAATTCTTCCCGTTCTCCGTGATATTCTTCTGAATATTCCTAAAAAAAACCAGAATATATCCTATTTACAATCCAATAATGTCCACAGGTACAGGTAAATTTATCACCTTTCCCTATCAGATAGCATTGCAAGGTGACAAATTTTACCTGTACCTGTGGACATCGGATTGTTACCTTTATTCTGTGTCCTAAAAATACGTTTCTTTCACGTTTTTTGATCATCGAATCGGTGGGCAGCAACCATCTGTTCTCGTGACATTCTTCCGGCGACGGTCTGTGACTGAAATCGACAATAGAATTTGACATTTGACGTTTATATAAATCACAATTGAATTGTATAATTATTGTATAATTATTATTGAGTCCGGCCCGAAGGGCCGGAGTTATATGCGAGTCCGGCCCAAAGGGCCGGAGTTATATGCGAGTCCGGCCCGAAGGGCCGGAGTTATATGCAAGTCCGGCCCGAAGGGCCGGAGTTATATGCGAGTCCGGCCCGAAGGGCCGGAGTTATATGCGAGTCCGGCCCGAAGGGCCGGAGTTATATGCGAGTCCGGCCCGAAGGGCCGGAGTTATATGCGAGTCCGGCCCGAAGGGCCGGAGTTATATGCGAGTCCGGCCCGAAGGGCCGGAGTTATATGCGAGTCCGGCCCGAAGGGCCGGAGTTATATGCGAGTCCGGCCCGAAGGGCCGGAGTTATATGCGAGTCCGGCCCGAAGGGCCGGAGTTATATGCGAGTCCGGCCCGAAGGGCCGGAGTTATATGCGAGTCCGGCCCGAAGGGCCGGAGTTATATGCGAGTCCGGCCCGAAGGACCGGAGTTATATGCGAGTCCGGCCCGAAGGGCCGGAGTTATATGCGAGTCCGGCCCGAAGGGCCGGAGTTATACGCGAGCCCGAAGGGCCGGAGTTATATGCGAAACCTGCCCGAAGGGCCGGAGTTATACGCGAACCCGGCCTTTCGGGCTTGCATATTACTCCGGCCCTTTAAGACCTGTATCCGCCCCTGATTGGTATTGAGTAGGTACCGAATTAAAAATAAATACAAATAAATCGAAAACTCACTTTGGTTGTCTCTTGAACAAGAGCATAATAAATCTGGTCGCCTCCTGGGAAACTTCCTGGTACAAATGCTCGAACCTGTACCGAACAAACAATACATTTTGGCGCGATTCTTGTTCGTCGACGCCCCGGAACGGCACGGTACCGGACAACATCACGTAGGCCAGCACTCCGACCGACCAGACGTCGGTCTGAGGAAACGCCGGCTCTTCAGCCAAAACTTCCGGAGCTGAAACCAATCAGAGTAACAAATTATAGGCTGTGGAGGAGAAATCAAACAGACTTCGGTCTGATCTTACCGATGTAGTCGCGGTGGCCGACCCAGGGCACTTTCGTGCCTAATTTGGTCACTCGGTGGGCCGATCCCAAATCGACCAGTTTAACTTGGACGGATCGTACGCCGACCATTACGACGTTGTCCGGTTGAAGATCCAAATGGCACAAACCTCTCCAGTGGAGGTACTGGAGGCCGTCTAAAATCTAGCGAAATAAAATACTTTTTTAACGAATTTCTAATATGTTCCATCTGTTAGAACTCGTTGGAATAAATTTTTTGACTCGTTTCAAAGTTATTGAAACTTGTCTGAAACGAAATTTTTAAACTGTTCCAACGAATTTCAATAAATCAGACAATACATTTTGAAACATCAATTTTTTTGCAACTTTTTTTCATGTTCCAACGAAATTCTAATACGTTCCAACGAGTTTCTGAAAAGTTTCAATACAGTTCCTAATCAATTTAACGAATTTCTAATAAGTTCCAATGAGTTTCTAACACATTCTAACGAGTTTTAAATATGTTTCAATGAGTTTCTAATATGTTAGAACTAGTTGGAATGCATTTTTTGACAGTTCTAACGAATTTTGAAACGTTTCAAAATTAAAAAAAACTCGTTTCAAAATTATTGAAACTTGTCTGAAACAAAATTTTTTAACTGTTCCAACGAGTTTCAACAAATCAGAAAATACATTTTTGAAACATCATTTTTTTTTCCGACTTTTTTTTACGTTTCATTGAGTTTCAATGATTTTCTAATACGTTTCAACGAGTTTGTAAAAAATTCTAACACAGTTTATAATCAATTTAACGAATTTCTAATAAGTTCTCATAAGTTTCTAACATATTCTAACGAATTTTCAATATGTTTCAATCAATTTCTGATTTGTTAAAACTCGTTAGAATGCATTTTTTGACAGTGCCAACGAGTTTTGAAACGTTCCAAAATTTAAAAAAACTCTTTTTAAAGTTATTGAAACTTGTCTGAAACGAAATTTTTTAACTGTTCCAACAAGTTTCAACAAATCAAACAATACATTTTTGAAACATCATTTTTTTTGCGACTTTTTTTAACGTTCCAACGAGTTTCACTGATTTTCTAATTCCTTCCAACGAGTTTCTAATACGTTCCAACGAATTTCTGAAAAGTTCTAACACAGTTTCTTAACAATTCAACAAATTTCTAATAAGTTCCAATGAGTTTCTAACACATTCCAATGAGTTTTCAATATTTTTCAATCAATATCTGATTTGTTAAAGCTCGTTGAAATGCATTTTTTGACAGTTCCAACAAGTTTTGAAACGTTTCAAAATTAAAGAAAAAAACTCGTTTCAAAGTTTTTGAAACTTGTCTGAAACGAAATTTTTTAACTGTTCTAACGAGTTTCAACAAATCAGACAATACACTTTGAAACATCAATTTTTTTTTTGCGACTCTTCACGTCCCAACGAGTTTCAATGATTTTCTATTTCGTCCCAACGAGTTTCTAAAAAGTTCCAACACAGTTTCTAATCAATTTAACAAATTTCTAATAAGTTCCAATGAGTTTCTAACACATTCTAATGAGTTTTCAGTATTTTAGAACTCGTTGGAATGCATTTTTTGACAGTTCTAACGAGTTTTGAAACGTTTCAAAATAAAAAAACTCGTTTCATAATTATTGAAACTTGTCTGAAACGAAATTTTTTAATTGTTCCAACGAGTTTCAACAAATCAGACAATATATCATTTTCATAAAAAAATTCGGACTCGGATTTTTTTTTTTTCTGAATCATTAATTTCAAAATGTTGCTACAAACGCCGCATATAAAAAAAAATCATAAAAAAATTTAAACTCAGAAAAAATTTCATATTTTTTTTCTGAGTCATCAATAAAAAAAATTCGGACTCAGAAAAAAAAAAAATAATTCTGAGTCATTTTTTTCAAATGCTAGTACAAACGTCGCATATAAAAAAAAAATCATCATAAAAAATACAAACTCAGAAAAATTTTCATAATTTTTTTTTCTGAGTCATTTTTTTCAAATGTTGTTACAAACGCCGCATATAAAAAAAAATCATAAAAAATTCAAACTCAGAAAAATTTTCATAATTTTTTTTCTGAGTGACTCCGAAAAAAAATAAAATAAATTCTGAGTAATTTTTTTCAAATGTTAGTACAAACGCCGCATATAAAAAAAAATCATAAAAAATTCAAACTTCGAAAAATTTTAATTTTTTTTTCTGAGTCATCAATAAAAAAATTCGAACTCAGAAAAAAAAAAATCTGAGTCATCAATTTCAAAATGTTGCTACAAACGCCGCATATCGAAAAAAAAAATCATAAAAAAATTCGGACTTGAGATTTTTTTTTTCTGAGTCATTTTCTTCGAATGTTGGTACAAACGCCGCATATAGAAAAAAATCATAAAAAAATTCTAACTCAGAAAAATTTTCATAATTTTTTTTTTCCGAGTCGTCAATTTCAAAATGTTGCTACAAACGTCGCATATCGAAAAAAAAATTCATAAAAAAATTCGGACTCAGAATTTTTATTTTCTAAGTCACTTTTTTCAAATGTTGGTACAAACGCCGCATATAAAAAAAAATCATCATCAAAAATACAAACTCAGAAAAATTTTCATAACTTTATTTTCTGAGTCATCAATAAAAAAATTCGGACTCAGAAAAAAAAAAAAAATTCTGAGTCATTTTTTTCAAATGTTAGTACAAACGTCGCATATAAAAAAAAATCATCATAAAAAATACAAACTCAGAAAAATTTTCATTTTTTTTTCTGAGTCATCAATAAAAAAATTCGGACTCAGAAAAAAAAAATCTGAGTCATCAATTTCAAAATGTTGCTACAAACGCCGCATATCGAAAAAAAAAATTCATAAAAAAATTGGACTCAGAAAAAAAAAAAATCTGAGTCATTTTTTTCAAATGTTGCTACAAACGCCGCATATTAAAAAAAAATCATAAAAAAATTTCGGACTCAGATTTTTTTTTTTCTGAGTCATTTTCTTCAAATGTTGGTACAAACGCCGCATATAGAAAAAAATCATAAAAAAATTCGAACTTTTTATTATTGAAACGAAAATTTTCAACTGTTCCAACGAGTTTCAACAAATCAGACAATACATTTTGGAACATCAATTTTTTTTTGAGTTAGACTCACCTGACTGATTATGGTGGCGACAGTTTGTTCGGTGTACTCGTGCTTGCTGGCCAAATAAGTGAGCACGTCGGCTCCTTGCAACTTTTCCAAAATAAAGACCGCTTTGTCGGCCGAATGGTAAGCGGCCTCCAATCCGGCGATCCTTTCGTGCCGCAGCGATCGCAAAGCGGCAAATTCACCTTCGACGTCATCTTTCTGTTTCTGATCTGTCATTTGCAAGACTTTGGCGATCACCACTCGGTCGGTGCGCTTGTCCACGGCTTTTAGGACTTGACTGAAACGACCTGGAGGAAAAATTTCAAGATTGACTCAGATTCTGAGCCAAATACACTTACCTCTAGACACCTCAGAAATGAAATTGTAATGCTCCTGGATGCCCGAGTGTTCCCATTCCACTGGCTCAGTTTCGATTTTGTAATCGATTCTGCTGACCGGTTCCTCTTCTGAGCCGTCGTCGGTGATGGTTTGCAAATGCGCCATAGCTTTGCTCAATCGAATTTTCTGAGTTCCGTCGGTTCCGGTTCGAATCGGAGCGGTCGGTACTCCGGAGTCGCTCCAGCCGATCGCGTTTTTCGCCGCCAATCGGAAAATGTAGGTGGCGCTCGGTTCCAGGCCCGACACCAAGTAGAATTCGTGTTCGATGTTTTCCGCTTTTTTGATCCATTCCATATCGTCGGCTCGTTTGTATTCCAATCTGGAATTACAGGAATCTACATTAGTGGAATACTCGAACAATGGAAGGAATTCATATAGGCATGAGCGCAATTAGGCTCCAAATTTAAGGGGTGTAAGGTGCAGTAATTTTTCGTAATTCTTGCAATTTTCCGTAATTTCCGTAACTTTTCAAAAATTACGAAAAAGTTGAGTAAAAATGGCGGAAAAGTAAGGTTATAATCGAGAAAGAAGTTTTTTTGAAGTACTTAATACCTACTTCAAAATTTCAAGTACCTATTTTTTGTAACAGTTTAAAATTCGTTTAGAGTACTTTTTACCAACTTTAAAGTTATTTTCAAGTACTTTTCAATTTGTGCTTTAGAATTTCAAAATTCGACCTGATACAAGTACCTTTCAACATTTAAAAGTTTTTTAAAAAAAAATTTCAAGTACTTATTTTTTTGGAACAATTTAAAATAAGTTTTGAAATTTTCAAACTTTATTCCAAGTACTTTTTAACAACTTGAAAGCTATTTTCAAATATGTTTTAAAGTACCTACTTATTTTTGACGGTTTCAAATTAGTTTTCAAGTTTTTGAAAATTTACAAGTATTTTTCAACACTTTACAATTGAACTTGTTTAAAGAAAATTTTCAAGTACTTATTTTTGAACAGTGTAAAATCGCTTTTTAGATTTTTTAAAGTTTTCAAAACTTTTTCCATGTACTTTTCAACAACTTTTAAATTATTTTCAAGTACTTTCCAAAAATGTTTTCAAGTACTTATTTTTAACAGCTTTAATTTAGTTTTCAAATATTTTTAATGAGCATTTTTCAATATATTCAAGTACTTTTTAACACTTTAAAATTAAAAAAAAAAAAATTTCAAGTACTCAATTTTTTAAACAGTTTTAATGAGTAATTGTCAAATGACTGTTTCAAAAGATTTATAAGATTCCAATAAGTTTTAAAACGTTTCAAAAATATTCAAAATTCACAAAAATTTGTTCCAAAGTTGTTAAATAGAATTTTTTAAAATGTTCCAACGAATTCAAAAAAAAAATTATAAAGTTCCAACGAATTCTAAAACTCGTTTCAATGGTGTTTACAAGCATTGGAACTCGTTGGAGTGAGTTTAAGTGTTTAAGTTCTAGTGATAATACATTTTAGACCACCAATGACAGGTGTCAACTGTCAAATGTGACAGGTGCTGAAATTTTGCATACATTTTACGTTCGGGTGATAATAAATTTTAAACCACAAATGACGTTTGAAAAAAAAAAAATTTTTTTTCAAGTGTCATTTTTTTTTTTGACAGGTCCAATATGATTTTTTTTTTCAAATGTCATTTTTTTTTGACAGGTCCAATCCTATCAAAAACATTTTTTTTTTGACAAATGTAATTTTTTTTTCTGACAGGTCCAATGGTACTTATAAGATTTTTATTTTTTTTTTTCAAGTGTCATTTTTTTTTGACAGGTCTCATCCTATAATTTTTTTTTTTTTTTTTTAAATCTCATTTTTTGACAAGTCCAATCCTATAAAAAAAAAAAATATATTTTTTTTTTTTCAAGTGTCATTTTTTTGACAGGTCCAATAATATGAAAAACATTTTTTTTTTTTTTTTTTTTCAAATGTCTTTGGGTCCAATCCTGTCAAAAATATTTTTTTTTTACAAATGTAATTTTTTTTTTGACAGGTCCAATGGTACTTATAAGATTTTTTTTTTTTTTTTCAAGTGTCATTTTTTTTTGACAGGTCTCATCCTATAATTTTTTTTTTTTTTTTTTAAATCTCATTTTTTGACAAGTCCAATCCTATAAAAAAAAAAAATATATTTTTTTTTTTTCAAGTGTCATTTTTTTGACAGGTCCAATAATATGAAAAACATTTTTTTTTTTTTTTTTTTCAAATGTCTTTGGGTCCAATCCTGTCAAAAATATTTTTTTTTTACAAATGTAATTTTTTTTTTGACAGGTCCAATGGTACTTATAAGATTTTTTTTTTTTTTTCAAGTGTCATTTTTTTTTGACAGGTCTCATCCTATAATTTTTTTTTTTTTTTTAAATCTCATTTTTTGACAAGTCCAATCCTATAAAAAAAAAAAATATATTTTTTTTTTTCAAGTGTCATTTTTTTGACAGGTCCAATAATATGAAAAACATTTTTTTTTTTTTTTTTTTTCAAATGTCTTTGGGTCCAATCCTGTCAAAAATATTTTTTTTTTACAAATGTAATTTTTTTTTTGACAGGTCCAATGGTACTTATAAGATTTTTTTTTTTTTTCAAGTGTCATTTTTTTTGACAGGTTCAATAATACATAAAGTTTTTTTTTTTTTTTTTCAAATGTCATTTTTTTTTGACAGGTTTCATTCTATAGATTTTTTTTTTTTTTAAATGTCATTTTTTGACAAGTCCAATCCTATAAAAAAAGCAAAGTTAAATAAAATTCATCCTCTTACATTTTAATTTTTTCCTGGAAAACTGGCAAAGGGAAAAATTTGAAAATTTTCCAGGAAAAAGAGGAAAGAAGTTCTAAAAGATTCATAAAGTTCCAACGAATTTTGAAACGTTTTAAAAATATTCAAAATTAATAAAAACTCGTTTCAAAGTTGTCAAAGCTCGTTGAAACGAAATTTTGAAACTGTTCCAACGAGTTCCAAAAAATTTATGAAGTTTCTACAAATCCAAAGAATTCGAAAATTCGTTCCAATGCTGTTTAGGAACATTGGAACTCGTTAGAGTGAGTTTTTTGGACTGTTCCAATAAGTTCCAAAAATATTTATAACGTTTCGATTTATTTAAAAATTTGTTCCAATACCATTTGAATTCATTAGAACTCGTTGGAGTGAATTTTTTGGACTGTTCCAACCAGATCCAGAAAACTTGTAAAGTATCAACGAGTTTTGAAACGTTTCAAAAATGTTCAAAATTAACAAAAACTCGTTCTAAATTTGTTAAAATTCGTTGAAACAAAATTTTCAAACTGTTCCAAGAATTCGAAAACTCGTTCCAATGCTGTCTAGGAACATTGGAACTCGTTGGAGTGAGTTTTTTGAATTGTTTCAACGAGTTTCAAAAAAATTTATACCGTTTCAATAAATTTAAAAACTTGTTCCAATACGTCATTGGAACCTTGGAACTTGTTAGAGTGTGTTTTTTGGACTGTTCCAAGAAAGTTCCAATAAATCCAAAAAATTCAAATACTCGTTTCAATGGAGGGTTCTTATTTTACAATGCTAATTAGAAATATTGGAACTCGTTGGAGTGAAATTTTTGAACTATTTCAACAAGTTCCAAAAAATTTATAACGTTTCAATTAATTTAAAACTTGTTCCAATACGTCATTGAAAGTCATTGGAGTGAGTTTTTGGATAGTTTGAACAAGTTACAAAAAGTTTCGACAAATTTGAAAAGTCGTTCCAATGCGTGTTTGGAACATTAGAACTCGTTGGAGTGAGTTTTTAAGACTGTTTCAACGGGTTCTAAAAGATTTTTTACGTTCTAACGAGTTTTGAAATTTAAAAATTGTTCCATAGCTGTTGAAACGAAATTTTTGAACTGTTCCAACAAGTACCAAAAAATGTATAAAGTACCAACAAATTAGTTGAAACAGCAAATAATTCTTCTCAACAACTTTTGAACGAATTTTGCTCAATTTAAAATTTATTGTTAATCGTTGGAACAGTCCAGAAAAATCACTCCAACGAGTTCTAATGTTCCAAACACGCATTGGAACGACTTTTCAAATTTGTCGAAACTTTTTGTAACTTGTTCAAACTATCCAAAAACTCACTCCAATGACTTTCAATGACGTATTGGAACAAGTTTTAAATTAATTGAAACGTTATAAATTTTTTGGAACTTGTTGAAATAGTTCAAAAATTTCACTCCAACGAGTTCCAATATTTCTAATTAGCATTGTGAAATAAGAACCCTCCATTGAAACGAGTATTTGAATTTTTTGGATTTATTGGAACTTTCTTGGAACAGTCCAAAAAACACACTCTAACAAGTTCCAAGGTTCCAATGACGTATTGGAACAAGTTTTTAAATTTATTGAAACGGTATAAATTTTTTTGGAACTCGTTGAAACAATTCAAAAAACTCACTCCAACGAGTTCCAATGTTCCTAGACAGCATTGGAACGAGTTTTCGAATTCTTGGAACAGTTTGAAAATTTTGTTTCAACGAATTTTTACAAATTTAGAACGAGTTTTTGTTAATTTTGAACATTTTTGAAACGTTTCAAAACTCGTTGATACTTTACAAGTTTTCTGGATCTGGTTGGAACAGTCCAAAAAATTCACTCCAACGAGTTCTAATGAATTCAAATGGTATTGGAACAAATTTTTAAATAAATCGAAACGTTATAAATATTTTTGGAACTTATTGGAACAGTCCAAAAAACTCACTCTAACGAGTTCCAATGTTCCTAAACAGCATTGGAACGAATTTTCGAATTCTTTGGATTTGTTGAAACTTCATAAATTTTTTGGAACTCGTTGGAACAGTTTCAAAATTTCGTTTCAACGAGCTTTGACAACTTTGAAACGAGTTTTTATTAATTTTGAATATTTTTAAAACGTTTCAAAATTCGTTGGAACTTTATGAATCTTTTAGAACTTCTTTCCTCTTTTTCCTGGAAAATTTTCAAATTTTTCCCTTTGCCAGTTTTCCAGGAAAAAATTAAAATGTAAGAGGATGAATTTTATTTAACTTTGCTTTTTTTATAGGATTGGACTTGTCAAAAAATGACATTTAAAAAAAAAAAAAATCTATAGAATGAAACCTGTCAAAAAAAAATGACATTTGAAAAAAAAAAAAAAAAACTTTATGTATTATTGAACCTGTCAAAAAAAATGACACTTGAAAAAAAAAAAAAATCTTATAAGTACCATTGGACCTGTCAAAAAAAAAATTACATTTGTAAAAAAAAAATATTTTTGACAGGATTGGACCCAAAGACATTTGAAAAAAAAAAAAAAAAAAAAAATGTTTTTCATATTATTGGACCTGTCAAAAAAATGACACTTGAAAAAAAAAAAATATATTTTTTTTTTTTATAGGATTGGACTTGTCAAAAAATGAGATTTAAAAAAAAAAAAAAAAATTATAGGATGAGACCTGTCAAAAAAAAATGACACTTGAAAAAAAAAAATAAAAATCTTATAAGTACCATTGGACCTGTCAGAAAAAAAAATTACATTTGTCAAAAAAAAAATGTTTTTGATAGGATTGGACCAGTCAAAAAAAAATGACATTTGAAAAAAAAAATCATATTGGACCTGTCAAAAAAAAAAATGACACTTGAAAAAAATTTTTTTTTTTTTCAAACGTCATTTGTGGTTTAAAATTTATTATCACCCGAACGTAAAATGTATGCAAAATTTCAGCACCTGTCACATTTGACAGTTGACACCTGTCATTGGTGGTCTAAAATGTATTATCACTAGAACTTAAACAGATGTACCTATGCTAAATTTCAACAAAATCCGTTGTGAAGAATTGGTTCAAAATCTGCAACTGTCACAATTTGACAGTTGACACTAATATTCCTATTCTATGGTAGATTTATGTATACGAAATGTAGTCTACCAACCTGTAACAAATCACTGGCGAATTGCCGTCGTGCTTCGGCTGTTTCCACAACAAAAGTACTTCGGTGTCGGAAACTTGAGCCGCTTCGGGACTGTCCGGTTCGTCGGGCACCAATCCGAGTACGACCCGAGTCCGCGCGATCGTTTGTCCCAACTTGTTGCGCGCAACAATCTTGTACAAACCCTGATCGAACGCCAGCGCCGGACCGAGCCGATACCGCGATCGGCCTTCCGAGTCGGTGAAAATTTTGATTCGGTGCGATTCGGCCACGATCGCGTCGTTTTTGAACCACTGGACGATCGGCGCCGGTTCGCCGACGGCCAAACAAACGAGCTCGAGATTTCGGCCTTCGATCATGGCGGCGGGTTGCGGTTTTTCTCGGAAAAAAGGCGCGCGGCCGTCCTGTTTGCTTTCTAGAAAGGCTTCGGCCTCGATGTAGGTGTCCAAGCGGGCGCCCAATTCGTGTTTGAGGCGCCTTATGTAGGGCGTGTCTTGGGCGCCGCCGTACCGATTGATGCGCGCCTTACGCTCGTCGTCGATTTCTTCGTCCATTACGTCGGTGAATCGGCGTCGTTCGCGGATGATCGGAGTCTGAAATCAATTATAAAATTATATATTAACTTACATAGGCGCAACTAGGGGGGGTGCAACCAAATTACGTCATCGATGACGTCATAATTTAGAAAAAAGTATTTGTCGTTGATTAATTCATAGAGCGGGGCCGGTATTACAATATTACCTTAAAATCAAGACTTACCCTAAAGTATAGGGTTTAATAATATGTTATATTTAGGATGACGTCATCGAACAAGGACAGAAAATAATAACGCAAATAAACTAGAATTTTTTTTCACGACTCAGAAAAAATATTTTCTACTTAAAAATCGACTCAGAATTTTTTTTTTTGATTTTTATTGAATTTTTAATTAAGGCCTAATCCAAAAATAACCCAAATAAACTAGAATTTTCGACTCAGAATTTTTTTTCACGACTCAGAAAAAATATTTTCTCATTAAAAATCGACTCAGAAAAATTTTCTTTGACTTTTCTTGAATTTGTAATTGAGGCAAAATCCAAAAATGACGCAAAAAAATTAGAATTATCGACTCGGAGTTTTTTTTCACGACTCAGAAAAAATATTTTCTACTTAAATATCGACTCAGAAAAATTTTCTTTGACTTTTCTTGAATTTTTAATTAAGGCTTAATTCAAAAATAATGCAAATAAACTAGAATTAATAGAATTATCAACTCAGAATTTTTTTTCACGACTCAGAAAAAATATTTTCTACTTAAAAATGGACTCAGAATTTTTTTTTTTGATTTTTATTGAATTTTTAATTAAGGCTTAATCCAAAAATAACGCAAATAAAAAAAATATTTTCTCATTAAAAATCGACTCAGAAAAATTTTCTTTGACTTTTCTTGAATTTGTAATTGAGGCAAAATCCAAAAATGACGCAAAAAAATTAGAATTATCGACTCGGAGTTTTTTTTCACGACTCAGAAAAAATATTTTCCACTTAAATATCGACTCAGAAAAATTTTCTTTCACTTTTCTTGAATTTGTTATTGAGGCAAAATCCAAAAATGGCGCAAAAAAATTAGAATTATCGACTCAGAATTTTTTTTCACGACTCAGAAAAAATGTTTTCTACTTAAATATCGACTCAGAAATTTTTGTTTTGACTTTTTTTAAATTTGTAATTTAGGCAAACTTCAAAAATAACGCAAATAAATTAGAATCATCGACTCAGAATTTTTTTTCACGACTCAGAAAAAATATTTTCTACTTAAAAATCGACTTAGAAAAATTTTCTTTGACTTTTCTTGAATTTGTTATTGAGGCAAAATCCAAAAATGGCGCAAAAAATTAGAATTATCGACTCAGAATTTTTTTTCACGACTCAGAAAAAATATTTTCCACTTAAATATCGACTCAGAAAAATTTTCTTTGACTTTTCTTGAATTTTCAATTGAGGCAAAATCCAAAAATGACGCAAAAAAATTAGAATTATCGACTCGGAGTTTTTTTTCACGACTCAGAAAAAATATTTTCCACTTAAATATCGACTCAGAAATTTTTTTTTCACGACTCAGAAAAAAAAAATTCTACTCAAATATCGACTCGGAAAAATTTTCTTTGACTTTTCTTGAATTTTTAATTAAGGCTTAATCCAAAAATAATGCAAATAAACTAGAATATCAACTCAGAATTTTTTTTCACGACTCAGAAAAAATATTTTCCACTTAAAAATCGACTCAGAAGAATTTTCTTTGACTTTTCTTGAAATTTCAATTTCTGTAATTTACGTAATTTATCAATGACTTTTGTAGTTCTACGTAGTATTTGAAATTGCCAATAATTTCCATTGTTTTTGTAATACTCAAATTTTATAATTCTGACTTTTTCTCTAAGTTATGACTTCATCGATGACGTAAGTAAAAACCTTCATGCCATGCAACATGCAACGAACTATATGTTTGTTTGAAATTTCAGACATAAAAAAACCTATTTTTCAAAAAAAAAAGGCAAATGATGACGTTAACTTACCGTCCAATCGTAGCCGTTGTCGTCTGATAAAATAAAAGACGAGCCGGGATTCCTGTTCCCGGCTACTTTCATGTATTTGCGCAAGCGCACGGGAAAATCGACGTCTCTGAGTTGAAGCAAATACGTATCCGGTCCGTTTTGATAACTGAAAAATACCAATCGATAAAACTATCGATAATTATCGATAATATAATTACTGGCTCTCGGACTTGACAATTCCGATTTCGTAGTTCAGAGGCGACCTGGACGGCAACTGGTCCTCCCAAGTTCTCGTCGTTCTGGTCGATTTTTCTTTCGGCGGCGACGCCCTGGGCGTGTAAACTTCGCCGGGCGGATAAACCATCTTTGACGGATGGGTGAAGGCGCCTTCTAGCGGCCGACGACGGAACCACGTCCTGCAGGAGGCGTTGTCATACCATTCTCTGTAATTAATTCAATTTTCACAGATTCCCGATTCTTGATTGGTTCGATTTGACGTTTCAAAATTCAATATTTAAAATGAATTCCAGTGGCGTTACGTTAAAAAAAAAAAAACTCAATTACCTGTACAAAGTCCAATAATCTCTGAGATATCCGCTACTGATCCGGAACTCGTCCTCGTAGCGTTTGTCGCACCGCTCCAGCCACGGATGCTTGAGCGCCGCGCGCACGTCCATCCGGCCGCCGGGATGGTAAACCAAAAGCTGCGTTACGAAATCGCGTCCCTCGGCGCTAATGTGGCGCCATCTCTCGTCGTCGAACCGCCACTCGCCTTTCCGGATGCGCGTCAGCGTTTCTCGGTCGTTGGCGCCCCGGAACGGCGACTGGCCGGACAGTAGAATGTGAGCGATAACGCCTACACTCCACATGTCGTGGCCGTAGCTCACGCCTTCGTTGTTGGCGCACTCGGGACTCACGTACTCGGGCATTCCGTAGAGTAGCGGGTAAGTGTGGGCCGAGCTGATTTGGCGCGACAGGCTGAAGTCTGTGATTTTCAAATCGTCGCCGCCCGGATGGGCGATTAAAAGATCGCCGAGCTGTGAAATTATTTGGAATTTTTAAGTTATTTTAAGCTCATAATTGATCCAACGAGTTTCGATAAATTAAAAAAAAAATTGAAAAATATTTTTGAAATTTTTTAAAACATTATAAACTCGTTGGAAAAAAATTATTCAACGAATTTCAAGAATTGTTTCAAACAAAAAATTTGTCCAACGAGTTACAAATAATTTTAAAACGTTTTTTGGTATTTCTGGAATTTTTCAAGAAACTCAATAAAAACTCGTTGGAAAAAAAAAATCCATCAAATTTCATTGAATTTTGAAAATAATTGAACCAACGAGTTTCGATAAATTAAAAAAAAATTGAAAAATATTTTTGAAATTTTTTAAAACATTATAAACTCGTTGGAAAAAAATTATTCAACGAATTTCAAAAATTGTTTCAAACAAAAAATTTGTCCAACGAGTTACAATAATTAATTTTAAAACGTTTTTTGATATTTTTGGAATTTTTCAAGAAATTCAATAAAAACTCGTTGGAAAAAAAAATCCATCAAATTTCATTGAATTTTGAAAATAATTGATCCAACGAGTTTCGATAAATTAAAAAAAAAATTGAAAAATATTTTTGAAACTTTTTAAAACATTATAAACTCGTTGGAAAAAAATTATTCAACGAATTTCAAGAATTGTTTCAAACAAAAAATTTGTCCAACGAGTTACAAATAATTTTAAAACGTTTTTTGATATTTTTGGAATTTTTCAAGAAATTCAATAAAAACTCGTTGGAAAAAAAAATCCATCAAATTTCATTGAATTTTGAAAATAATTGATCCAACGAGTTTCGATAAATTAAAAAAAAAATTGAAAAATATTTTTGAAATTTTTTAAAACATTATAAACTCGTTGGAAAAAAATTATTCAACGAATTTCAAGAATTGTTTCAAACAAAAAATTTGTCCAACGAGTTACAATAATTAATTTTAAAACGTTTTTTGATATTTTTGGAATTTTTCAAGAAATTCAATAAAAACTCGTTGGAAAAAAAAATCCATCAAATTTCATTGAATTTTGAAAATAATTGAACCAACGAGTTTCGATAAATTAAAAAAAAAATTGAAAAATATTTTTGAAATTTTTAAAAACATTATAAACTCGTTGGAAAAAAATTATTCAACGAATTTCAAAAATTGTTTCAAACAAAAAATTTGTCCAACGAGTTACAAATAATTTTAAAATGTTTTATGGTATTTCTGGAATTTTTCAAGGAATTCAATAAAAACTCGTTGGAAAAAAAAATCCATCAAATTTCATTGAATTTTGAAAATAATTGAACCAACGAGTTTCGATAAATTAAAAAAAAAATTGAAAAATATTTTTGAAATTTTTTAAAACATTATAAACTCGTTGGAAAAAAATTATTCAACGAATTTCAAAAATTGTTTCAAACAAAAAATTTGTCCAACGAGTTACAATAATTAATTTTAAAACGTTTTTTGATATTTTTGGAATTTTTCAAGAAATTCAATAAAAACTCGTTGGAAAAAAAAATCCATCAAATTTCATTGAATTTTGAAAATAATTGATCCAACGAGTTTCGATAAATTAAAAAAAAAATTGAAAAATATTTTTGAAATTTTTAAAAACATTATAAACTCGTTGGAAAAAAATTATTCAACGAATTTCAAGAATTGTTTCAAACAAAAAATTTGTCCAACGAGTTACAAATAATTTTAAAACGTTTTTTGATATTTTTGGAATTTTTCAAGAAATTCAATAAAAACTCGTTGGAAAAAAAAATCCATCAAATTTCATTGAATTTTGAAAATAATTGATCCAACGAGTTTCGATAAATTAAAAAAAAAATTGAAAAATATTTTTGAAATTTTTAAAAACATTATAAACTCGTTGGAAAAAAATTATTCAACGAATTTCAAAAATTGTTTCAAACAAAAAATTTGTCCAACGAGTTACAAATAATTTTAAAATGTTTTATGGTATTTCTGGAATTTTTCAAGGAATTCAATAAAAACTCGTTGGAAAAAAAAATGCATCAAATTTCATTGAATTTTGAAAATAATTGATCCAACGAGTTTCGATAAATTAAAAAAAAAATTGAAAAATATTTTTGAAACTTTTTAAAACATTATAAACTCGTTGGAAAAAAATTATTCAACGAATTTCAAGAATTGTTTCAAACAAAAAATTTGTCCAACGAGTTACAAATAATTTTAAAACGTTTTTTGGTATTTCTGGAATTTTTCAAGAAACTCAATAAAAACTCGTTGGAAAAAAAAAATCCATCAAATTTCATTGAATTTTGAAAATAATTGAACCAACGAGTTTCGATAAATTAAAAAAAAATTGAAAAATATTTTTGAAATTTTTTAAAACATTATAAACTCGTTGGAAAAAAATTATTCAACGAATTTCAAAAATTGTTTCAAACAAAAAATTTGTCCAACGAGTTACAATAATTAATTTTAAAACGTTTTTTGATATTTTTGGAATTTTTCAAGAAATTCAATAAAAACTCGTTGGAAAAAAAAATCCATCAAATTTCATTGAATTTTGAAAATAATTGATCCAACGAGTTTCGATAAATTAAAAAAAAAATTGAAAAATATTTTTGAAATTTTTTAAAACATTATAAACTCGTTGGAAAAAAATTATTCAACGAATTTCAAGAATTGTTTCAAACAAAAAATTTGTCCAACGAGTTACAATAATTAATTTTAAAACGTTTTTTGATATTTATGGAATTTTTCAAGAAATTCAATAAAAACTCGTTGGAAAAAAAAATCCATCAAATTTCATTGAATTTTGAAAATAATTGAACCAACGAGTTTCGATAAATTAAAAAAAAAATTGAAAAATATTTTTGAAATTTTTTAAAACATTATAAACTCGTTGGAAAAAAATTATTCAACGAATTTCAAGAATTGTTTCAAACAAAAAATTTGTCCGAGTTACAAATAATTTTAAAATGTTTTATGGTATTTCTGGAATTTTTCAAGGAATTCAATAAAAACTCGTTGGAAAAAAAAATGCATCAAATTTCATTGAATTTTGAAAATAATTGATCCAACGAGTTTCGATAAATTAAAAAAAAAATTGAAAAATATTTTTGAAACTTTTTAAAACATTATAAACTCGTTGGAAAAAAATTATTCAACGAATTTCAAGAATTGTTTCAAACAAAAAATTTGTCCAACGAGTTACAAATAATTTTAAAACGTTTTTTGATATTTTTGGAATTTTTCAAGAAATTCAATAAAAACTCGTTGGAAAAAAAAATCCATCAAATTTCATTGAATTTTGAAAATAATTGATCCAACGAGTTTCGATAAATTAAAAAAAAAATTGAAAAATATTTTTGAAATTTTTAAAAACATTATAAACTCGTTGGAAAAAAATTATTCAACGAATTTCAAAAATTGTTTCAAACAAAAAATTTGTCCAACGAGTTACAAATAATTTTAAAATGTTTTATGGTATTTCTGGAATTTTTCAAGGAATTCAATAAAAACTCGTTGGAAAAAAAAATGCATCAAATTTCATTGAATTTTGAAAATAATTGATCCAACGAGTTTCGATAAATTAAAAAAAAAATTGAAAAATATTTTTGAAACTTTTTAAAACATTATAAACTCGTTGGAAAAAAATTATTCAACGAATTTCAAGAATTGTTTCAAACAAAAAATTTGTCCAACGAGTTACAAATAATTTTAAAACGTTTTTTGGTATTTCTGGAATTTTTCAAGAAACTCAATAAAAACTCGTTGGAAAAAAAAAAATCCATCAAATTTCATTGAATTTTGAAAATAATTGAACCAACGAGTTTCGATAAATTAAAAAAAAATTGAAAAATATTTTTGAAATTTTTTAAAACATTATAAACTCGTTGGAAAAAAATTATTCAACGAATTTCAAGAATTGTTTCAAACAAAAAATTTGTCCAACGAGTTACAATAATTAATTTTAAAACGTTTTTTGATATTTATGGAATTTTTCAAGAAATTCAATAAAAACTCGTTGGAAAAAAAAATCCATCAAATTTCATTGAATTTTGAAAATAATTGAACCAACGAGTTTCGATAAATTAAAAAAAAAATTGAAAAATATTTTTGAAATTTTTTAAAACATTATAAACTCGTTGGAAAAAAATTATTCAACGAATTTCAAGAATTGTTTCAAACAAAAAATTTGTCCGAGTTACAAATAATTTTAAAATGTTTTATGGTATTTCTGGAATTTTTCAAGGAATTCAATAAAAACTCGTTGGAAAAAAAAATGCATCAAATTTCATTGAATTTTGAAAATAATTGATCCAACGAGTTTCGATAAATTAAAAAAAAAATTGAAAAATATTTTTGAAACTTTTTAAAACATTATAAACTCGTTGGAAAAAAATTATTCAACGAATTTCAAGAATTGTTTCAAACAAAAAATTTGTCCAACGAGTTACAAATAATTTTAAAACGTTTTTTGATATTTTTGGAATTTTTCAAGAAATTCAATAAAAACTCGTTGGAAAAAAAAATCCATCAAATTTCATTGAATTTTGAAAATAATTGATCCAACGAGTTTCGATAAATTAAAAAAAAAATTGAAAAATATTTTTGAAATTTTTTAAAACATTATAAACTCGTTGGAAAAAAATTATTCAACGAATTTCAAAAATTGTTTCAAACAAAAAATTTGTCCAACGAGTTACAAATAATTTTAAAATGTTTTATGGTATTTCTGGAATTTTTCAAGGAATTCAATAAAAACTCGTTGGAAAAAAAAATGCATCAAATTTCATTGAATTTTGAAAATAATTGATCCAACGAGTTTCGATAAATTAAAAAAAAAATTGAAAAATATTTTTGAAACTTTTTAAAACATTATAAACTCGTTGGAAAAAAATTATTCAACGAATTTCAAGAATTGTTTCAAACAAAAAATTTGTCCAACGAGTTACAAATAATTTTAAAACGTTTTTTGGTATTTCTGGAATTTTTCAAGAAACTCAATAAAAACTCGTTGGAAAAAAAAAATCCATCAAATTTCATTGAATTTTGAAAATAATTGATCCAACGAGTTTCGATAAATTAAAAAAAAAATTGAAAAATATTTTTGAAATTTTTTAAAACATTATAAACTCGTTGGAAAAAAATTATTCAACGAATTTCAAGAATTGTTTCAAACAAAAAATTTGTCCAACGAGTTACAATAATTAATTTTAAAACGTTTTTTGATATTTTTGGAATTTTTCAAGAAATTCAATAAAAACTCGTTGGAAAAAAAAATCCATCAAATTTCATTGAATTTTGAAAATAATTGATCCAACGAGTTTCGATAAATTAAAAAAAAAATTGAAAAATATTTTTGAAATTTTTTAAAACATTATAAACTCGTTGGAAAAAAATTATTCAACGAATTTCAAGAATTGTTTCAAACAAAAAATTTGTCCAACGAGTTACAATAATTAATTTTAAAACGTTTTTTGATATTTATGGAATTTTTCAAGAAATTCAATAAAAACTCGTTGGAAAAAAAAATCCATCAAATTTCATTGAATTTTGAAAATAATTGAACCAACGAGTTTCGATAAATTAAAAAAAAAATTGAAAAATATTTTTGAAATTTTTTAAAACATTATAAACTCGTTGGAAAAAAATTATTCAACGAATTTCAAGAATTGTTTCAAACAAAAAATTTGTCCGAGTTACAAATAATTTTAAAATGTTTTATGGTATTTCTGGAATTTTTCAAGGAATTCAATAAAAACTCGTTGGAAAAAAAAATGCATCAAATTTCATTGAATTTTGAAAATAATTGATCCAACGAGTTTCGATAAATTAAAAAAAAAATTGAAAAATATTTTTGAAACTTTTTAAAACATTATAAACTCGTTGGAAAAAAATTATTCAACGAATTTCAAGAATTGTTTCAAACAAAAAATTTGTCCAACGAGTTACAAATAATTTTAAAACGTTTTTTGATATTTTTGGAATTTTTCAAGAAATTCAATAAAAACTCGTTGGAAAAAAAAATCCATCAAATTTCATTGAATTTTGAAAATAATTGATCCAACGAGTTTCGATAAATTAAAAAAAAAATTGAAAAATATTTTTGAAATTTTTAAAAACATTATAAACTCGTTGGAAAAAAATTATTCAACGAATTTCAAAAATTGTTTCAAACAAAAAATTTGTCCAACGAGTTACAAATAATTTTAAAATGTTTTATGGTATTTCTGGAATTTTTCAAGGAATTCAATAAAAACTCGTTGGAAAAAAAAATGCATCAAATTTCATTGAATTTTGAAAATAATTGATCCAACGAGTTTCGATAAATTAAAAAAAAAATTGAAAAATATTTTTGAAACTTTTTAAAACATTATAAACTCGTTGGAAAAAAATTATTCAACGAATTTCAAGAATTGTTTCAAACAAAAAATTTGTCCAACGAGTTACAAATAATTTTAAAACGTTTTTTGGTATTTCTGGAATTTTTCAAGAAACTCAATAAAAACTCGTTGGAAAAAAAAAATCCATCAAATTTCATTGAATTTTGAAAATAATTGAACCAACGAGTTTCGATAAATTAAAAAAAAATTGAAAAATATTTTTGAAATTTTTTAAAACATTATAAACTCGTTGGAAAAAAATTATTCAACGAATTTCAAGAATTGTTTCAAACAAAAAATTTGTCCAACGAGTTACAATAATTAATTTTAAAACGTTTTTTGATATTTATGGAATTTTTCAAGAAATTCAATAAAAACTCGTTGGAAAAAAAAATCCATCAAATTTCATTGAATTTTGAAAATAATTGAACCAACGAGTTTCGATAAATTAAAAAAAAAATTGAAAAATATTTTTGAAATTTTTTAAAACATTATAAACTCGTTGGAAAAAAATTATTCAACGAATTTCAAGAATTGTTTCAAACAAAAAATTTGTCCGAGTTACAAATAATTTTAAAATGTTTTATGGTATTTCTGGAATTTTTCAAGGAATTCAATAAAAACTCGTTGGAAAAAAAAATGCATCAAATTTCATTGAATTTTGAAAATAATTGATCCAACGAGTTTCGATAAATTAAAAAAAAAATTGAAAAATATTTTTGAAACTTTTTAAAACATTATAAACTCGTTGGAAAAAAATTATTCAACGAATTTCAAGAATTGTTTCAAACAAAAAATTTGTCCAACGAGTTACAAATAATTTTAAAACGTTTTTTGATATTTTTGGAATTTTTCAAGAAATTCAATAAAAACTCGTTGGAAAAAAAAATCCATCAAATTTCATTGAATTTTGAAAATAATTGATCCAACGAGTTTCGATAAATTAAAAAAAAAATTGAAAAATATTTTTGAAATTTTTTAAAACATTATAAACTCGTTGGAAAAAAATTATTCAACGAATTTCAAAAATTGTTTCAAACAAAAAATTTGTCCAACGAGTTACAAATAATTTTAAAATGTTTTATGGTATTTCTGGAATTTTTCAAGGAATTCAATAAAAACTCGTTGGAAAAAAAAATGCATCAAATTTCATTGAATTTTGAAAATAATTGATCCAACGAGTTTCGATAAATTAAAAAAAAAATTGAAAAATATTTTTGAAACTTTTTAAAACATTATAAACTCGTTGGAAAAAAATTATTCAACGAATTTCAAGAATTGTTTCAAACAAAAAATTTGTCCAACGAGTTACAAATAATTTTAAAACGTTTTTTGGTATTTCTGGAATTTTTCAAGAAACTCAATAAAAACTCGTTGGAAAAAAAAAATCCATCAAATTTCATTGAATTTTGAAAATAATTGATCCAACGAGTTTCGATAAATTAAAAAAAAAATTGAAAAATATTTTTGAAATTTTTTAAAACATTATAAACTCGTTGGAAAAAAATTATTCAACGAATTTCAAGAATTGTTTCAAACAAAAAATTTGTCCAACGAGTTACAATAATTAATTTTAAAACGTTTTTTGATATTTTTGGAATTTTTCAAGAAATTCAATAAAAACTCGTTGGAAAAAAAAATCCATCAAATTTCATTGAATTTTGAAAATAATTGATCCAACGAGTTTCGATAAATTAAAAAAAAAATTGAAAAATATTTTTGAAATTTTTTAAAACATTATAAACTCGTTGGAAAAAAATTATTCAACGAATTTCAAGAATTGTTTCAAACAAAAAATTTGTCCAACGAGTTACAAATAATTTTAAAACGTTTTTTGGTATTTCTGGAATTTTTCAAGAAACTCAATAAAAACTCGTTGGAAAAAAAAAATCCATCAAATTTCATTGAATTTTGAAAATAATTGAACCAACGAGTTTCGATAAATTAAAAAAAAATTGAAAAATATTTTTGAAATTTTTTAAAACATTATAAACTCGTTGGAAAAAAATTATTCAACGAATTTCAAAAATTGTTTCAAACAAAAAATTTGTCCAACGAGTTACAATAATTAATTTTAAAACGTTTTTTGATATTTTTGGAATTTTTCAAGAAATTCAATAAAAACTCGTTGGAAAAAAAAATCCATCAAATTTCATTGAATTTTGAAAATAATTGATCCAACGAGTTTCGATAAATTAAAAAAAAAATTGAAAAATATTTTTGAAATTTTTTAAAACATTATAAACTCGTTGGAAAAAAATTATTCAACGAATTTCAAGAATTGTTTCAAACAAAAAATTTGTCCAACGAGTTACAATAATTAATTTTAAAACGTTTTTTGATATTTTTGGAATTTTTCAAGAAATTCAATAAAAACTCGTTGGAAAAAAAAATCCATCAAATTTCATTGAATTTTGAAAATAATTGATCCAACGAGTTTCGATAAATTAAAAAAAAAATTGAAAAATATTTTTGAAATTTTTTAAAACATTATAAACTCGTTGGAAAAAAATTATTCAACGAATTTCAAGAATTGTTTCAAACAAAAAATTTGTCCAACGAGTTACAATAATTAATTTTAAAACGTTTTTTGATATTTATGGAATTTTTCAAGAAATTCAATAAAAACTCGTTGGAAAAAAAAATCCATCAAATTTCATTGAATTTTGAAAATAATTGAACCAACGAGTTTCGATAAATTAAAAAAAAAATTGAAAAATATTTTTGAAATTTTTTAAAACATTATAAACTCGTTGGAAAAAAATTATTCAACGAATTTCAAAAATTGTTTCAAACAAAAAATTTGTCCAACGAGTTACAAATAACTCAGAAAAACATCTTTCTGAATAGATTTGATTAATAAAGTCTTACGTTGAGTCCCATGTGAGCGTAACCTCGTCCGTGTATGTAGTCCAAACCTTGGAGCAGCTGCCTCATGAATCCGGCAACGTCGCTTTCGGTGTAGTAGTCGGTTCGGAGCAAGTAATCGGGAACCAGTTCGCCGCCGGCTCCCAATTCCGTAACAATAATCAAAGTGTCGTCAGTTTCGTAGGCATCGTGCAACGAAATCAGCTTTTTGTGACGTAGCTGATTCAGCACGTCCAACTCGTTCAGCATCCAGGTGCGGTATTCAGGACCGCGCCCGCGCATTACTTTTGCCGCCCAATTACGACCTGAAATATACGGTGTTTCGTAAATATAATTTTATCAATAGAAACTTACCATTAAGACGTTCGACGGAATGATAAGTGACGCCCTGAGTGCCTCGGCCCAGCTCGTCTCCCAAATCGTAATACTCGGAAATCGGCCGTTTGTGCGCCCTGATCGGTGAAATGTTCGTATAAGTTCGGATCCCGTACTCGTGGTCGTTGTCTTCGACGTAGAGCGACGCGCCGGCCGACGCCGATCCGGCAACGTTGCGCGCGGCCACCGTATACAAACCGGCATCTTTGTAAATGCAGTCGTTGATTGTCAAAATCGTCATATCCGGTTCGCGGAAGTTGATCTACGAATCACAAAATTTAAAAAAAAAAAAAATCATCAAATTATGTAAGTACCTTGATCCTGGTGGAAGCGGCCAACGGTTTCCAGTCGCGGTACCACTTGATCTCCGGATACGGCACGCCAACTATTCTGGCGACAAATTGAATCCGGCCGCGCACCAAACCGTATTCGACGTCGGGTCTTTGAACGAAGTACGGCAACACGGCGATTTCCAGTTTCACTCTTTGCCTGGCTTCGCCGTGCTCGTTTCGGGCCACGCACTCGTACCAGCCGACGTCTCGGTCCAACATCCTGAATAAATCAAATAAGAATATTAGTGAAAACCGCACTCCTCTATGACAAATAATACCGAAGATATGGCTCTATGAATATACCCTATGACGTCACAAAAGCTCAAAGAAAAAGTGAAGTAAATTGAATTTACATATGTTTTTTCTGTGACACTTGCAATAATCTAAACAGAAACCACTCACGCGAATCTCTTGTGACGTCACACGCATTTTAAAGCGGTATATCTCAACGATGATTTATCGTAGAATAACGAGGTTTGAACAGTTATTCTTAGATTTTTTTACACTAAAACTTCAATAGTCAAGGGCCAATTTGTAAAAAAACATAATTCACTGTTACCAACTGTCCAATTATTTTCCAGCTAAGCTAATCAAAAGCCTGGAATAATCACTCAATTATTGCAAAAATTCTGGTGAATGTTGGAAAGTGCCTCAAAAATCGTGCCATGGAAAAGCTGTCATTTTTGTCAATTATTGTACCAGAAATTATTCCCAGGCTTTTCGATTGGACCACTATAATCCTAAGGGTGGCGCCCGAGTTTTTCGTCACTACAGTCTATTTTTTCCCAAGATAGATTTTGACCATGACAATTTTGAAATAAACAATGCCGCTTATTGGTCGCAAGATGCCGTGTACCTGCGGCACCATGTAAAAGGATACCTCATTTGCAGGGACACGACATTTTGCGACCAATTAAAGCTACGTGGTATTGTTTATGTTTCAAAGTTGACAATGTCATTCATAATCTATCTTGGGAAAAAATAGAGTGTAGTAAACTAACCCCTAACCGACTGTTTTCTTAGCGGAAACAAAGTAGCGTTGCAAATTTGGCGCCCGAGCAGGGACCTCTGGTCAGAAATCGTAGGTGGCCATGGAAAAGCTGTCATTTCTGTCAATTATTGTACTAGAAATTATTCCCAGGCTTTTCGATTGGACCACTATAATCCTAAGGGTGGCGCCCGAGTTTTCCGTCACTACAGTCTATTTTTTCCCAAAATAGATTTTGACAATGACAATTTTGTAATAATCAATGCCGCTTATTGGTCGCAAGATGCCGTGTACCTGTTGTACCATGTAAAAGGATACCTCACTCGTAGGGACACGGTATTTTGCGACCAATTAAAGCCACGTGATATTGTTTATGTTTCAAAGTTGACAATGTCAATTATAATCTATCTTGGGAAAAAATAGAGTGTAGTAAACTAACCCCTAACCGACCGTTTTCTTAGCGAAAACAAAATAGTGCTACAAAATTGGCGCCCGAGCAGGGACTTCTGGTCAAAAATCGTAGGTGGCCATGGAAAAGCTGTCATTTCTGTCAATTATTGTACCAGAAATTATTCCCAGACTTTTTGATTGGACGCAGTATTACCAACTGTACAATTATTCGCCAACTAAGCGGAAACGCAGCCTATAAGGGTGTTGTCGGCCGGAAATCGAGATATTACATTTTTAAAAATCGGCCGGAAATATGTCTAAAAATCGGGACGTCTGGCAACCCTGACTATAGGGGTTGTTTCTCCCTTCTGACTTACATAAGGTGGGTTCGGTTATTGCTCACTCCGTGCACTCCGAGTGACTCCATTCGCACAAAAAAATGATGTATGACTCATACTCACCTTTTTTGCAAACGAATTACGTATTGGCCCCTGACTATAATATGATTGGCGCAGTCGGTAGGATACTTTTCAGGGAATATGAGCAGAATACATAGAAATTCAAAAATCCTTACTTGTTAATAAACAAAGTGCCTTGTCCGTTTCTGGTGTAGCTGGAATCAAATCGGCCCCCTGGCTCAATTAACTCGTCCTCGAAATAAAAGCTGATTTTCGGTTTCGGGTACCCGTAAACGAACCAAAACAAGTTGGCGCTCTGATCTTTGACCCCGTACTGAGTCGGATGTTCTTGTCTCAGAAACGTCGGCGCCTGCGCCATACCGTCACGAGGCGGACGCTCAATGTCGAAATCTTTCGGGAAATACGGCGAAGTTTCCGGCCGGAAATCGATTTCTTTGGGCAAATACGGCCGGAATTTGGGCAAATCGGGCTCGAGTTTTTGCCGGTGCGTAACGGCGTACGGCGACGGGTCGCTGACGCCGTACTTGTTTTCCACTCGGATGCGGAACTTGTAGTCGCGGAACGGTTCCAAATTGCTTATGCCGCATGCGCAACTTCTAATTCCGGTCCGCACGGTGAACCAATCGCCGTTGGGCATTTCGCACATTTCCAATTGATAGGTGACGGGTTCTCTGGGTCCTGCAGGGATCGAGGGGTTCCAAGACAAGGTGCAATGGCGGTCGGTCATTTGCGAAACTATAGGCGGATCGGATATCGGCATCGGGGCGCCGCTGCGTTTGTACTTGTCAAATTCAGTATACTGATCTGTGATTGGACGTTTCGGTTTGGAGTCGAGGCCCTCGTCGAATTTGAGCGAGGCGTGGCAAAGGTCAGTGCCGTGCTCATTAGAAATTTTACAGGAATATTTGCCTAAATCGTCACTGTCGACGCCAATGATTGTGAGCCGCAAAAGTCCGGCGGTGTCTTTGTCCATCCGGATTCGCTTTGACGGGTAGATTTTCTTGTCGTCGTGGTACCACTCGACTTCGGGTTCCGGGATTCCGGTCGCGCAAGCGGTGAATTTGCCGGTCATGCCTTTGAACAGTTCAGTGTCGCCGATGCGTTTCAGGAAACTGGGCGGTTCGATTTTTTGTTGCATTTTGCTGCAAATAAAATAAGCAAAAATTAATATCGGATTTTGTGAGTACGTCTATGGATTTTCCAAATCGTAAACCTGAGCTGTTTTCGGGTGCCACCCATAAGCGCAACTAGGCTCCAAAATTGATGGGGTTTGATGGAAAGGAAATGTGACACGTAAAAAAGAAGGCAGCTTCACGAGGGTTTGTACCGAGGGGCTTTTCACCTATCAAAATTTGTACACCAATTTTCATTTTTCTTACTATTCACGGTATTTCCATATATTTTCGAGTATTTCTAAGTATTTCCAAGTATTCCCTAGTATTTCCAAATACTTCTGAGTATTTCTTAGTATTTATAAGTATTTCCAAATATTTTTCTATCGCACTAGCATCCTCGGTAGCATTTTGTGGAGGAAAAAAAAGTGCCAATGAAAATGATAGAGTCACATTTATTTGGGATATTCAAAGAAGCTCAGAAAAAAATAAAAACTCTGTAAAATTTCAAATTATTCTCAATATTTCTGGATATTCTCAATATATCACGGAAAATTTAAAAAGTTACGAAAATCACCATTATTAAAAACTAAAAAGGAGAATTATATTTGAGTATCACAAAAATTTCTGAGCCGATATTTAAGTAGAAAATATTTTTTCTGAGTCGTGAAAAAAAAATTCTGAGTCGATAATTCTAGTTTATTTGCGCTATTTTTGGATTAAACCTTAATTGAAAATTCAAAAAAAGTCAAAGAAAATTTTTCTGAGTCGATATTTGAGTAGAAAATATTTTTTCTGAGTCGTGAAAAAAAATTCTGAGTCGATAATTCTAATTTTTTTGCGCTATTTTTGGATTTTGCCTCAATTACAAATTCAAGAAAAGTCAAAGAAAATTTTTCTGAGTCAATATTTAAGTAGAAAATATTTTTTCTGAGTCGTGAAAAAATATTCTGAGTCGATAATTCTAGTTTATTTGCATATTTTTGGATTAAACCTCAATTGAAAATTCAAGAAAAGTCAAAGAAAATTTTTCTGAGTCGATATTTAAGTAGAAAATATTTTTTCTGAGTCGTGAAAAAATATTCTGAGTCGATAATTCTAGTTTATTTGCATATTTTTGGATTAAACCTCAATTATAAATTCAAGAAAAGTCAAAGAAAATTTTTCTGAGTCGATTTTTAAGTAGAAAATGTTTTTTCTGAGTCGTGAAAAAAAATTCTGAGTCGATAATTCTAATTTTTTTGCGCTATTTTTGGATTTTGTCTCAATTACAAATTCAAGAAAAGTCAAAGAAAATTTTTCTGAGTCTATATTTAAGTAGAAAATATTTTTTCTGAGTCGTGAAAAAAAATTCTGAGTCGATAATTCTAATTTTTTTGCGCCATTTTTGGATTTTGTCTCAATTACAAATTCAAGAAAAGTCAAAGAAAATTTTTCTGAGTCATATTTAAGTAGAAAATATTTTTTCTGAGTCGTGAAAAAAATTCTGAGTCGATAATTCTAATTTTTTTGCGCCATTTTTGGATTTTGTCTCAATTACAAATTCAAGAAAAGTCAAAGAAAATTTTTCTGAGTCTATATTTGAGTAGAAAATTTTTTTTCTGAGTCGTGAAAAAAAAATTCTAGTCGAAGATTCTAATTTATTTGTGTTATTTTTTAATTTTGCCTCAATTACAAAAGTAAGAAAAGTCAAAAAAAAAAATTCTGAGTCAATATTTAAGTAGAAAATATTTTTTCTGAGTCGTGAAAAAAAATTCTGAGTCGATAATTCTAATTTTTTTGCGCCATTTTTGGATTTTGTCTCAATTACAAATTCAAGAAAAGTCAAAGAAAATTTTTCTGAGTCGATATTTGAGTACAAAATATTTTTTCTGAGTCGTGAAAAAAAATTCTGAGTCGATAATTCTAATTTTTTTGCGCCATTTTTGGATTTTGCCTAAATTACAAATTTAAGAAAAGTCAAAGAAAATTTTTCTGAGTCTATATTTAAGTAGAAAATGTTTTTTCTGAGTCGTGAAAAAAAAATCTGAGTCGATAATTCTAATTTATTTGCATTATTTTTGGATTAAACCTCAATTGAAAATTCAAGAAAAGTCAAAGAAAATTTTTCTGAGTCTATATTTAAGTAGAAAATATTTTTTCTGAGTCGTGAAAAAAAATTCTGAGTCGATAATTCTAATTTTTTTGCGCCATTTTTGGATTTTGCCTAAATTACAAATTTAAGAAAAGTCAAAGAAAATTTTTCTGAGTCTATATTTAAGTAGAAAATGTTTTTTCTGAGTCGTGAAAAAATTTCTGAGTCGATAATTCTAATTTATTTGCATTATTTTTGGATTAAACCCCAAGTGAAAATTCAAAAAAAGTCAAAGAAAATTTTTCTGAGTCTATATTTAAGTAGAAAATATTTTTTCTGAGTCGATAATTCTAATTTTTTTGCGCCATTTTTAGATTTTGTCTCAATTACAAATTCAAGAAAAGTCAAAGAAAATTTTTCTGAGTCGATATTTAAGTAGAAAATATTTTTTCTGAGTCGTGAAAAAATATTCTGAGTCGATAATTCTAGTTTATTTGCATTATTTTTGGATTAAACCTCAATT